ATCTTGTGTGAGACTCTCGGGGTTCCAGGGCTTGTATGTCTATTTCTGTTGACAGTTTAAGAAATATTTCAGTCATTCTTTCCTCAAATAGGTTGTCAGTCCTTCGCTATCTCTCTTCTCCTACCCCTATAATGGGAATGTTGTTTGTTATGCTTAATGTCCCAGAGGCCTCTTAAACTATCCTCATTTTTTTTGGATTCTTTTTTCCTTTTGCTGTTCCAATTGGGTGTTTTCTGCTACCTTGTTTTTCAAATCACTGATTCTATCTTCTGCTTTATCTAGTCTCCTTGTAATTCCTTCTAGTGCATTCTTCATTTCAGTTATTGTATTCCTCATTTCTGAATGTTTCTTTTTTATGGTTTCTATGTCTTTTTTTTATACTTGCTTTCTCTTTGTTGTAGTCCTCACTAAGTTTCTTGAGCATCCTTATGACCAGTGTTTTGAACTCTGTCTCTGGTAGGTTGCTTGTCTCCATATTATTTAGTTCTTTTTCTGGAGATTTCTCCTGTTCCTTCATTTGGGATGTATTACTTTGTTTCCTCATTTTGGCTGCCTCTCTGTGTTTGTTTCTATGCATTTGGTAGATATGCTACATCTCCCAGTCTTGCCAGTTGACTTTATGTAGTAAGTACCCTCTGGGGCCCAGTGGCATAATTTCCCTGGTCACGTGAACCATGTGTTCCAGGAGTGTCCCTTGTGTGAGTTGTCTGTGCCCTACTGTTATAGTTGAAGCTTGATTGCTATTGGCATGTCAGTTGATGGGGTTGGTCCTCAGGCTGACTGGCTGTGGGATTGAGCTGTGTCCACAGCTTATCAGGTATTGTGCAGGGGACTTACCACACAGTGTGGGATTTGCCCCAGTGGGATCTAGTGCCTGTTGAGATCACCCTTTGGGTGTGCCACTTGTGGGGCTAATTGGGTAGTGTTCTTCTGTTGTCTGAATCCAACCTCCAAGCATGTTGGTTCTAGGGCCTCTTGGGAGGGGCTCTGATGCAGGCCCAGTTCAGCCACTGCCTGTGATCTAGTCAGGAACTACCTGGTAGGAGCTATAATGTGATCCACAGTTAGTTGCTGCCTGTGGTGGACATTGAAATGTGTGGAAAAGGCCACACTGTGAGCCAAGAATGACTGCAACCAGTACTGTGTCCATGGTAGCTCTATAAAAAGCCAGGGCACACCAAGGCCTGCTGCAGTTTTCTGGCTCCCTTAAGGTTCAGCCATCAATAAAGCCTTGTGCAGTATGGAGTTGGGTGTGGCAGGGTCTCAGTGAGTCCCCAAGGTGGAGCAAGTGGAGCTCAGCAGACCAATTCAGATTGAGATTTGGCCATGGGTGTGGGAGAGGGCGCACCACAGGAAATATGGTGCCTGCCTACCCACTGCAGGGGAGGAGGACCCCACCTAGAGAAAATGTCAACTATCTTTCAGCTCTCTCCTGAAGCCACATACCTCATTCTGCCCCCCATATGCCTCGGAGGCCCCCTGAATCACTGTCCCTCTGCTAGAACCCAGAGTGAGTGCCTGCAAGCAGGTTAGTGTGAGCCCTTTAAGAGAAAGTCTGAGTTTCCCACAGCCTTTTATACCACCCAGCGTGTGAATCCCCACTCTTTTTCACAGCTAGATGTTGTGGGGGTTCCTCTTCCTGGCACCAGTACTCCAGGTTGGGGGGCTTGGTGTGGGGCTATGGTCTCTTGTTTCTCTGTGGAGAATCTCTGTGGCCAAGATATCCCTCATAATTTTCATCCACCACATGGAAGTTTGGGGCCAGCCCATTTCGAGTCTCCGCTTCTCCTGATAGTCTTGATGTGGCTTCTTTATATCCTTAGTTATAAAACTTCTGTTCAGCTAGACTTTAGATAGTTCTCCAGGTAGATTGTTCTATAATTTAGATGTGATTTTGATGTGTTCATGGGATGAGGCAAGCACAGCACTTATCTACTCTGCCATCTTGGATCTCTTTCGCAAATAATTACTTCTGACTTCACAATCATTTTTCCTTTCTTGTTCCTAATTTGTGTATTTGTTACCTTTCAAAATATTTGAATGCTAGTTTCTATTGTCTGACACAATTGATTTATTCTTTCTACTTTTTTCCTTTGTACATCCTTACAAAGCCTCCTCCTCCTCTTCTTCCTTCTCCTCCTTATCCTCCTCTTCTTCCTTCTCCTCCTCCTCCTCCTCCTCCTCCTCCTCCTCCTNNCTTCTTCTTCTTCTTCTTCTTCTTCTTCTTCTTCTTCTTCTTCTTCTTCTTCTTCTTCTTCTTCTTCTTCTTTTACATTTGGTTGAGGAAGCAAAACAGTCCTGGCTAAATTCTCATTATGTTAAAAGCACTCTAACAGAAACAATCGGGAGATACACAAGGAGGGATAAACCTGGGCTTTACATTCAGGAAACTTGTGATCTAATGGGAAGGACTAGGTGAGTACTCATGACAATACTGGCAAGTCTTGAAACAAAGTGCTAAATCTTAGAGACCACTAGGGGATGGACACCTAAAGGTGAGGCTTCCCTCATTCATGATCACAACTAAAGTCAGTCAGTCAGGATAAAGGAAACCTCAAACACAAGGGCATAGTAGAGATCTTCTCTGTTAAGGAGGTGGCAGGCAGTAAACAATTGAGAGATACACAATGTATCAAAGTTAGGGGTTCCAAGTTTTATTGAGCCAAGGTCCAAGATGTTAGTGGGAGTCTGCATCAGGGTTCAAAACCAAGTATCCTATGTCATTGGATTTGCTACCAGGAAAATATGCAGGATACTTATTGAACTAACAGTGTCAGACTTGTTCACTTGGATGTGGTACTAAATAGCTCCCATGGCACCTACGTATCCTCCTATCTTAGCACTCATGATAGTACATTGAATTGCTGTGTTTCAATGTATTTCACTCCATCAGATTATGAGCTCCATGAAGTCACAAACTGAGTCTTATTCATCTTTGTCTCCCCAGTGCCTGAACCATACATAAGTCCTTTGTGTTACTGAGTGGCCGAAAACACAGGTTTTGGAGTAAGATAGATCTGCCTTTGTTTGGCTTCATCACTTTCCTCCTAAGTAATTTACTTATTGTCTCTGGGCCTCAGTTTTCTCATCTGTAAAATAGTGAAGACAATAATACCGACTTCTAGGATTTGTTATGAGAGTGAAATGAGATGACAGATTTGGAAGTACTTAACAGAGTGCCTGTCACAAAGTAAGCATTCAATTAGTGGTAGCTCTGATTGTCATTACATGATCATGGAATGAATGAATGAGTGAGGAGCAAGTGGGCTTAAGCAGAATGTTGGCTTGTTTGATGAGTCAGAACACAGGGCTGGGAAGTGGCTTAATGGGAGCAACCCTGGCAGTTCTCGAAGACTCCTTCCCTTTTCTTGGCATCTCTTGGATGATTGGGAGGTTGATACAATGGGGATAATATTTATGCATCTCTTGCTTTGTGTAAGGCTTGTAATCATCTTAACTGGGGGAACAGGGATTGAATAGACCCAAGGTGGGGGATGGTGTTATTAATATGAATGTTTTTCATGTATAACATAGTATTCTCTGCACTCAGCAAGCCATTGTTAGTTTGTGAGCACTATACCTTTGGAAAGCCATTGCTGGCAGATTGAATGGGTAGCTTAGAATAATTAGAAGCTTTGAATATTTTCAAAATAAAGATTGGAATAAGAATATTTTGAATCTATGGTTTCTCCTGGGGTTTCCTTAGTGTGCTGGACTACTTATCAAATATAACTAGGAAAGCTGAGAATTAGGGAGACTACAGGGAGCAGCATAATTTCCCAGGGACCCTTGTTGCTTTGTGCAGAAAAGAAATAGAGATTGTCTCTCTATTGTGGACAAGCAGCAGTGCATAGGGCACTACAGGGTGGGTAGGATCCTGGGAACATGGCTTTACCAGCAGAACCTCAAGCCTATGGGAATCTATTGCTCTTGATTAGTTTTTTTTTTTAAAGATTTTTATTGGGGAATTGGGGGTATGGGAACAGTGCTGGGGAATTGGGGGAAGGGGAACAGACAAGTTGCTGTCGTTTTGTTCTTCAGTCTAGTTGTGGAGGACGTTGCTTCACTGCCCCAAGTTGGCACCATCATTGCGCTCTTCCCAGGCGAGGCACATCAGTCGCCAGCTTCTGGACGGCCGCTCACTGCGGCTGCTGGCCGCTCACGCTGGCTGCTGGCTACACACAGTAGCCCATGGCAACCCACTGCCACAGGGGGTGCAGCCTACGCCGTCGCCGGCGACTCCCAGCAGCCCAGCTCCAGGTTGAGCTGTTGTTCAGCATCTTAGCTGTAGAGGGCAGTGTCACTGGCCCTCATATGTGGGATCCGAACCGGGGCCCTCTGGCATTCCAAGCCAGTTCTTAACCATCGCGCCACTCGGCCAGCCCTTGATTAGGTTTTAAGTGGTGAGAACAGTTTTCCCGTATTTGTTTTTTAGGGGAAAATGGTATTCTGGGCCACTCTGGGATCTTGGTCCATTTTAAGCAAAATTTCTGTTTTAGTGGATCCAAAGCAGTTAAGAACTGGTGTCCTTTTTTTAAAACTAATGACGAAGAGAGAAACTTTCACCTATTGGTCAATCACAGACTCTATCCACAACATGCTGCAGAAGGTCATTTTGATCTGCCTTGGCCTAGATCCCTGGCCCCAGAGTTGGGCTAGGAGCACTCTGCTTTTGAGGCTCTGAAAAAAAGTGACACTTGTAGGGCCATCTGCTTGTTGACTTTTATTCAGAGGTGGGCATTCTTTTAGACATCGTCCCTTAGTTACTCTTGATACAAGACTACCATACATGAAACATGGAAAGACAATGGCACTCAATATATATTTACTCACTAGGGACTGTGGTACAGACTATGAGCCTGGTATTTTGAGAAAAAGGAGATCCCTGGGGGCTAGAGATAATGGCCCAGATGTGAAATTTTCCCCCCTGCCAATATGGTATGACATTAATTGTCATGAGACTATCAAATACCAATCCAATAATCCTGCTTTCTCCATAGGTAACTTGTCTCCATGATTTCTTTGGTGATGACGATGTATTTATTGCCTGTGGTCCTGAAAAATTCCGCTATGCTCAGGATGACTTTTCTCTGGATGAAAATGGTAAGCACAACCAATGAATGTTATTGATACAGTATTCTGCCTCATTCTATCCCTTAGGATTTCCATGGGTTCACATGGCCTGGAGCACATCCATTCATGGTCCTTTAAGGTAAAATATTGTTAGTCTTTCTCTTGTATATTGGATAAATGAGTCAATAAGTGAAAGTGATTGGATATCCCAGATTCCCAGCCTCCAAATTCAATGAAACTTACTGTCTACCCCAACAGTGGCCATATTTCTTGAATCATATACTGTGTAACATGGGCTGACAGGCACAATTAGACCATGGGAAAGAGCATTTGGAGTCAGAACTTTGATATTGTATGTTATATGTTTTTTTCTAGTCAACATTCTGTGGCTATTTGGCCCATGTTGATTATTCTACTTTAAAAAGATTTTCCACTGAGTTCTTACTGCCAAAACTTTTCTTTTTTACTACCTTCTGGTTTGTTGCCCCATTCCCCCTGCCTTTTAACTCAATAGTTCAGAAGGCTGTTAATCTGAGAAAGGAGGCGAAACATTTGTCCATCTCTCTTTGCTGAGTCCAAGCTCCAGATATAAGTTAATGGTGAATTAGCTCACTCAGCAACAGGGTTAAGATGTGATCTTGAAGGAAAGACACATTCAATACATATTTCTCACATATGAGGACTAAAGTTTGAGAAAAACAAACTGAGTTGTACTAATATAGACTTTACAAACAACTCAAGTGAGAAGAACCATGGAAGAGGTAGCATTTCTTCTGTGTTCCTATTGAGAAGAGGAAAATTACCATAAAATATCTCAACAAATCCCAGGCTATGTCCAATTTTTTTTTAGCTGAGCTATCCTGTCACCTGTAGGCAGCTGTTGGCAGCTCAGCTTGGGCCGGGAATCGAACCAGCGACCCTGTTGTTCAGAGCTCACATTCTTGCGCGAGCTCTCAACCAACGGAGCCACTCAGCTAGCCCTATGTCCAATTTCTTATACCTTCTACATCTCCAACTCTGGATAACTAAAAAGTGCATCAACCAAAACAAGAAG